TCAAAATGTTATGACTTTATTCTCGCAATTTGTGACTTTATTCGCGTAATTTTACAACTTTATTCTCATAATGTTACGACTTTAATCTCGAAATAAAAGAAAACATACAGTATCCCTAGCCTGGCCCTAATACTCCGTAGTAGGAAATGACACTGTTACCCTGTCAGCAGATTTTCCCACCATTGCTGTGCAACCATCTCTGGGAGCCTTTGCTGATTCTTGAATTCAAGAAAAAAGAGGGATACTATTTAAATAACTTAACCTTGGTTTGGATTTCTCCCCAACCCTATCCTTGACCTGTCTGCTGTGTTTCTTGTTATTCCTGATGTTATTTGTTCACTGATGTTCTCTAACCTTGGAGGGTTTTAGAGGCGTGTGGATTACACACATCTGGACTCCATAACAAAGTGTCAAGAGAGGGCTGGTTCCTTATGATTTTACTAAGAAGTATCAGAGCCTATAAGTTGTTTCTAATTTATTTCTAATATATGTATCAATATCATATTGAGACAGCTAATATTTTACCCCCTTTAAAAAGAATAAGCAACATTTTTTTTCTATTACATAAAAGTCCCACAAAACCTTAAAGTTTGTGATAATAATACTAAAAAATGTGATGAAGTTCAAGGGTATGGCACTCTTGCAAGGGACACTACTAGCCCTAGTGCCTTAATGGCAAGCTGAGACAGAAAACACTTTAAAGCAAAAATAAATTCCAGAGCTCCTGCTTCGCCATCTGACCAAGCCAACCGCGACAATATGTCATCCCAGTGTCTTGTCTGTTGGAATTTTTTTCTTCTTCTTTCCAATGCAGATCATTCAGTGTGCAATAAATATGGAGGACAAAAAAAGGAAAAAAATGTAGATTTGATATTTAGAGGACTCAGTTTTAATTTAATTGAGGAGCATTTGTATGTTGTAATTATAATTGGGTAAAATTACAGCTTTACATTTCTGTAGCTTAGTGTTCTGTAGCTTAATGCTATATGTTTTGGAAACAAAGGTTTCACTTGAAAAAACACTATATATACACAATCACCTACTTACTAATATTAACAAGCCAGTGACTTTTGTTCCTTTAAATATTTGCCAAGGCATGCATTCACACTCCTCTGTATGTGTGCATCTGTCTGTGTGGATAAATGGTGATTGGCGTGCGGCTGAAAGTGGGTGGTGTGGAGTGATTAATCAGCGTAATGAGTGTAGATGAGCACTGTGCAGATGGAGCCCACACTCAGGACCGTGTCACCCAGCAGGAGGTCTCTTTGCTTCCCTTCCGAGACTCTCTATAGTTTTAACTATGGTTTTGACTGCATTTCTTTGGCATGTGCCACCTCCCTTCTTTCGTGAGCTCCTTTCTTTATGATTCACATTCATTACAACCCTATTCTTCTACGAAAATCTATGTGCACAATTAGCAGAATTTCTGTGTAAATATAAATTACCCCTGTTAGCTTTGCTTCTCTCTCCTGCCAAAAAGCATCATAATTCTGTGTTTTGCTTAAGACGCCAAACTTCACACCAAGCACCTTAATGTATTCCAAAAGATTACTAAATAATGCTTTGCCACTGAAATGCAGTAAAGATAATGTTATATGGGAATAGTTTTTCACAAGATGTAAAGGGACTAAAACATTTTCATTCATATGATTACTATAGATGTTGACAATTCCCTCTTTTAGTGGTTAGGGTTCTCTGTTCTTCTAAGCCAAACTCAACCCCAAAAAACAAAATGGTTTCCTCTGAATCTTTGGTTAATATTTATGTACAGAGTATATTTTATATGTAGAATTTGAAGATACACAGACCCACAATCTATGGGAACGAACACATGGATGAATAGCACTCTAATGGTTTAACAGACGGCCTTGTGAACATCTTACATTAATTAAGAGAAAGTATATAAAACATCAGAAAAAGATTAATGTGGCTCGAGAAGTCGGGTTCATTCTTCAGTATAATGTCGGGATGCATGAAAGGAACACATTGATTTGTAAACATTCGGGTAATAACAGGCCATTGCGCCGTTTAGGAATGAGTCTGCTTCTGTGTCTTAGAGATAACCCTATTGTAATGTGTATAAACCCCCAGAACAAAGACAAAAGACCTTCAGAAAATAATGACTTAAGCCGGGTTAGACAGTGTCATTATCCACAGTGAAGAAAGAGACCATTGCTCCATGTGCACATTTAAAAAGATATGCACACACAAACAATGAAGCCTGTTTTGGGAGACATGATCTGTGGTCTAATGGAGTAAAAAAGATTAAAATTGGTTATGGTTAACATTGTCACTTTTAGGGAAAACAGGGGGGAGCTTGCAAGCATAACAGAACCATCCTACTATAAATCTTAAAAATGCCCATAAATGCTTATTTTATAAGGGTGTTTTGCTGTTTAGGAAAATGTCATAAAGTTGATTTGGCATATTTACTTTATCTCCAGAAATGTAAATTGAAAAATATGACAAATAAAAGTCTAACAAGATTAAGGTGGCTTGTTTTACTCTCTAAAATTACAAAGTAGCTTTAATAATACAGTATGCACTGGAGTCCAAATGCAATACCAATGGTAGTTAAAGTACAATGGAGGATGTTTTAAGAGCCAATAGAGCAAATATGACGATGGAGTCAAAATCTTAAAAACAAAAACCATGACAACTTCTAGATGCCATCAGTACAAAAAGACATATTTTTCTCATGGCTGGTCCTTCTGCACTGATTGGCTAACACATTCTTGCCTCCTATGTCCCTCTGGATTTTCTGACATTAGCTTTTTTTTCCCCCCCCACATTCTTTTGCTGACTCAATCACTTGGTCTTATAAGTCCCATCGAGCCTCCTGCTTTGTCAGAAGCTTCACTGCCCTGATTCACATTTATTAAAGAGGGAAATGGGGGATGGAAAGACGGCATTATAAAGTCTTTCAAAGTGCATGACTGGCTTTTTGAAAGTGGAAACAGTCTTTATGTGAAGCATCCAGCAATAAAGAGTGCTTTCTTGTTTCTAGATCTAGGTTTTGGGGTTAGTCAGCATTATACAATACCTCGGATCTTACATTGCCCAACATGCTGGTGAGAATAAAGTACAGGAAGCCATTAGGGTATAAAGAATAGGTTAATCTTTAAAATTTCAGATGGCTGAACAAGTAAAACAGACCTGAATTAGGCTTATTCTAACTTTTTAAAAGGTCCGCTCATCTTTTGGACTGCCGCTTTAGTCCATATCTACTCTATTCTGTTTTGAACAACAAAAATTTGTATTATTTTGAAGATAAATTTCTTACAAAACTATTCTCATTAAAATTTTAACTCTAAATGGTGGATTGTTCAAATAAATGTTTGACATGTTCATTTTTGTAAAAGTTCTTTATCAATATGTAATATGTCCCTAATTACATTTGGATCCACTTGGTCACCAGTTATAACGCAGAAACTCCAGATAGAGTGGCGTTAAATGCTATCGGTATTCTGACCATGTCTGTGTAATGGCAGCTGCTTGATGGTGTGGACGTGATTAAGTGGGCTATTTGTCTGGTGCTGTGTGCAACAAGGGGCCAGGTGGGGATTGGCTGGTGACAAGACTCTCCTGCTGGCAGATATAGACAACAGAAAAAGACTGACGGCGGAAAAAGGTCAACATGTTAACTTCCTTTCACATAAACAAAGCAAAGCAGGAAAGAGATGTGCCATCTCTGTAGACTATGTACTTTTTGCCAGATTATCTATCATTCCCATTAAAGGTTAGCACAGCTCAAAAGAATAGTCCAAGGGTTTCCTTTTCTGAATTTCCCTCAACCTCATTGTATATTCCTTCAACCCTCACTGGCTTGCATGGGGTCCTTGTACATGCAGGCTTTTTGTTCTTTGCCACTCTTTACCTTATTTATAAGGATCAATCTAAATTTAAACTGCATTTTTATAGAAATGTGTCTTTAATGACTAAGTTTTAAATATGGAACTCACAAACTGACAGAGGAATGATTGGATGAAGAGCTGGATGCAGGGACATATGGCTAGATGTGCATGTATGACAGAGGCAATAGTAACCTTTCTTGTCTCTCAGTGGGGAACTTTAGAATGAGTGGATGCATGTGTGGAGGGATGAATTAATAGGTGGGTGGATGGGTGAAAGTCTGGAAATACAAATATTTTCCCTTAGACTATTTTCTTTATTGCATTCTGATCTGGAGTTGGTAAATAAGCAGTGGGCGGTGAAATAGACCTGCCGTACAGGTCTGTGCTGATAAGCAACGTGAGAACTTCCATAGAGAATCTATAGGAATTGAAATTACTTAATAGGACTTCAATTTGAAATCTGAAATATAAACACACCTCATAGCAGCTGTAAAATAAATAAATAAATAAAAATAAAGGAATATGTGTGTAGAACACACACAAATATGAAGGACAATGCATCACTGCCATGATTTTATTAAAAATCTAAATGTATGTTTCATAGTCTACGCCTCCTACTGATGGAATAAAACACAAACAAAAACAACATGACTTTTTTAGTCACAAGGACAGAGGAAGAAACACATGGGCTTTATGCTGCCCAGTGATGCAGCTTAACCTCAGATGACCCCGCCCCCTTTTCAATTAAAGGCTTCTAAGGCTGATACAAAATTATGAATAAAATAAGAACAAAAACAAGAATCCTTTAGGAAGCTCATCAATCACAGTTTAGAGACAAAAGGTAAAGAAGGGGGTGTAGCAGAGGAGTCTTTACCAAGTCTCATCCTTCATCATCCATTATGAGAGCATGAATGGGGGGGTCTCTGCTGTCCACAAGAGAATATGAAGACCGACGGAAGCCAAAAACGGGTTTAAAATAGGTGGCAAAGCTCCTCACCAGACATGGAAATTCTTCTCATATGAGCACTTTTCATTTGTCCTAAAACTCTATGTCTAACACAAATCATAAATATGAGTGTGAGAGAGAAAGAGGGAGACATTGTGTAAAAAAAAAAGCTAACGCACAACAGTGAACATCAGTCTTACCTGGATGAGTGATTCACTCAGTCTTTCCTCGTCTACCTCCAGCACAATGTCCCGGATCTCTTCATAAGGCAGGCGGAACGAGCCCAAGAAAATTGCTGTTTTGATGTAGAGAGAAGAGAGTCATTTCCTCACTTTTTTATTAGACTGCAGGGTTCACACTGACATTTTGGCACTCATCGCTCCTTAGATAAAATGATCACACACTGCACTTCCCATTTGGGAAAAAAAAATGGTGCTACTCTGACAAAAACTGCAAAGGAAAAAATCAAAATTCACCTGTATGGTGTCAGTTTTTGTTTATTTCAAACAGTCGATCCAAAAACAGAAACCTAACAAAATAAGTAGCAGCTGAAGAGGGCGCTCCCCTCAGAGCAACATGTTTTTATTTGGGTGGATACGAAAGAGGAACCATGATTTTGCCTCAGGGGGGAAGCCTGGTGGGTGTTTCACACTCCAGGTGGGGTGGCCACATTGGAAATTGGAGCTGATGCTGTATCCAGGTGGAAGTCACAGGTGGAGCTTTGGTAATGAGTTGGAAGAGAGACACTCAACAGCTGCCATACAACTGTAGCAGCAGGACCTGATGGCTCTATCTGATATGAAACAAGCAGAGAAGTTTTTTTTGTTTTGTTTTTGTTTTTATTTTTGTTCCTCTTAGCATTTTTATTTCAATGCAAACTACATTAGGTGATAAACTTTTCATATATAGAGAAACTTGCTTTATGTTATGTTGAGACTCTACATTGCCATTTATTAGTAGGGAGATAACATGACCATGTTTGTATCCCTTCACATTGCACTCATTTCATTATTTCCTGGCTTTTAAGCCGATTATTGCCAGTTCATGTGATACAATCAGATTTTCAACACCATTTATGTCAAGACTTTTACACAGTAAAACTTACAGTCAAAAATAATGTGTACCAGAAATTTCTACAGGGATCTTGGCTTTAGATTAGACTAAAACACACTGTTATAAAGTGGGGAGGGGGATGGACAGTACTTCAATCTGTTTGTCAATTCACTAATGATTCCCTTTCTCTCTCCACCAATCTATTTATCTGTCAACTTTTCTGTTTTTTTTTTGGCAGGTTTTGTTTGTGGCGCATGATATTGATAGTTACAGATGCAACTAACTAACAGAAAATCTTTATTTTTCACCTAAAAAAGATGAATCTGCTAAAACTTAAAATAAACTATAGAAATGCAAAAAGTGTAGGAACCCTGATTGTTAGATGAGTCGCTGTAGAGAATTGTGTGGTTATATCTGATTTTTGCATGTGTGCCACTGTAAGCATTTGCAAATGATTTCACTGAACTTGTGTATGTCTTTGACACGGTTGGTAGGTGTCAGTGCCAGGTCTGATTACTGTGCCTGCAGATGGGCTTGGAGTTTGGCGGAAGGAAAATAAGCGTTAAAATTACCACCTTCACAAAGGGAATGGGAGGGAATCCTTTTGTCATACACAACAACACAGCTCTCCTTAGTCGCCTTGATACACACTATTGCATCATAAATCATTTTCAATGCCTGCAACTGAACCCTGTAAGCTCTCTTCTCAATTCTGATGTGAAGGTTCAGTGACTGGGATGGGTGGTGTGGTAGTATGAGTGATTGTCATGTCAGTGTTGCTTTATGTATCATGGTAAAATGATTATGCATACTGCTATCATGTAAATTGTGTCCATCTGTCTTCAAAAACCTTTGCCCAGCAATGTCACCATGAGGGTAGAGGGTTGACCTGTGGCAGAGCCTCAAATAGGAAAAGCCGAGCCGACTGTATTATTTTAAGCTGTTAAATGCAAAAGTATCAATGTCTATGACTCAACTAGAAGTAGAAATCCTGTTTAAAAACATTTTTGTAGAAGTTAAGAGTATCAACTTAAGCTTTTTACTTGAGTAAAAGTGTGAAAGTATCATTTTTTAAACTAATTAAAGTCTAAAAGTAAAAGAAATGCAAGCAAAAATGTTAAGGAAGGATGCTTTACTGCACAAGCTTATAAAAATAATTTTTTTACAATTCTGGATAATAACTTCAGGATGATCCATCCTAATTAATGGCAGTAGTGTCAAATGTTGTCATCTTGGAAAACTATGTTGAAACGGGTCCATATACAAATAAATAATTTGTCTGAATAGAGCAAATTATTTCTCCAGTAAAGTATTGATAGTCGAAATTTCTACTTAAGTAAGGTAACAAAGTATTTGTACTTTGTTACATGACACCTCTGGGTAAATGTCTGATAGAGTGAAATATAAATTAAAACTACATAAAAAATATATTGGTATTTTGTAAGTTTTCAGTCCCTGCCACCCAACCCATACACAGTGAAGTTTGGAGCAAAAGGCTAATTTAAAGGTAGTGTCAGTAATTTTACGATTTTACTAATTTTGCACATATTACTGTAGCACATTTAGTTTCTTTCATTATTTCACAATTTTCCAGTGTTTGATTTTCTACAGCTGATGTTGGATTTAAAGTGTTTTTAAAAGTTGTTAAACAGCAGATCAACTACACTTTAAAGGAAAAGTTCAGTCAGCAACGAACGATCAATGGATCATTTTCTATACCTAAAACAAATATGTTTGGGGTGATTTAATACATTTATTGTTAATCATTAAAAAAATAAAAATAATAATTTTTCTCGCAACCAATGAGTCCAGGAGTGGCCATTTTTGTAGTAACATCTCACTCCTAACATCTTCCTGCAGTGACATCACAGTACGGTAAGCCTAGCGCCATTCTCCGCGCTTTAAAGCAAACTCAAAGGGAACTACTAGACACATCTGCAATCAATAAAATTATAATAATCATTTAAGATTTAGAGAGGACTTCAGCATTGAAATTTGCGAGAGCTATAGTTAAACTGAAAATGCCCACAAGCATGGCAGTTGGATGTTTACATCGGGTAAAAGTGGCAAAAAAAAAAAAAAAAAAAAAATTCCATCTTTCAAATTCATGATCCACCATGGATGGGTATGTTGGTGGATTGCCAACTTGAAGAGGGAGGATTTGCCTCTGAACTTCTGGCCAGAGTAAAAACCCGTAACATGTAGCCAACATTTCGTAGAAGAATGTTTTCAAGATGATTTGTATAATAGCGCGTTGTGACAAAAACCAGATACATCATTGGGACTTGCTCAACAGCCGATACCGCACCGTGACGTCACAAACCGGTAGGTGACAGTAGCATTCTTTGACAAATATTGATGTCTCCACTCAAGCACATTCAAATGAAATTACTCTTACTTACAAACACTAATTATTTATTGAACCGTATGTAATAATTTAATATTTAAAGTACTTTTTAGAAGTTTGAATTCTTAACATGACCAGACTTTTCCTTTACGATGTACATTGTGAGTTCTTTTCCTTTCATTTTTAATAACTCTATATCACAATCCAGTATTAACAGGAACTGTATAAAGCTCAAGCAGACTTTATCTGGGGCTTCATGAGAATTAAAAAACACCCACATGGAGCTCAAGCAGTCGAGTCTGTTAAAAATTAATTTTGCATAATCTGACACAGAGGGCTTGGAATAAAGCTGTAAGCACTTAGTTTGACTGCTATATTGTTGCCAAAAAAATCCTCAAGTTTCCACAAAAGGCTCAAACATCACTATCCTAACATAGAAACCATTAATCTAATAGTTTTTTTTCTTTTTTTTTTGTTCCTTTTTTATTTTATTCTACATGCAGCTTTTCCTGTTTGTGGGAATATTAACAGCTGCAATAGGGGAAAAAATTTCAAAATCTTCTGAGATAAAAGAACATCACTGTGAAGAATAACTTTGTGAACCAAACAGAAAGCTAATTATGTGTTTCAACCAAAATGCGTTTTTGAGCGTCAAAAAAGCAACTCAACTTGGACACCTTGCAAACCGGCAGGCAATCAGGGGATTCTCCAGTAAAAGCTCTATAAAGCCAGCCATACTGTCAGAGATTTGCTGCTGCTGTTTGTAGCAGTTAAAGGCACATAAAAAGATTTTTTTAAATATATTTTTAGGTAAAACTGCACTTTAAAAGCACTTTATATGTATTAATTTTAATTAAATTTATGCTGACAGCTCTGCAGAAGCAGAGATCACGGCTTGTATGTTGTGTCTGTTACCAAGACAGCTCCTGGATCAGCTTTTCTGAATGGTTGACGCTGGATGCTCAAATGCTTCCGATCCTGGAAAAGTGGTAAAACTCGCTTCTCTCGACGCTAAAATCTGGATATCAAGCCCTCCTTCATGCCTTACACTTTGCATGTAAACTAGACACCCTGAAGCTCATGTTTGTTGTGAATGCACCATAAGGGTTACATGACAGCATCTACTTACATAGGTTCTGTGCTGTCTTGGCATCCAGGATACGAAGCTCCTTTGTCTTCTTCTTGAATTGGGGCATTCGGTCATCAGTCTCATCACTCACATCCTTTTTTACTGCAATATAAAAATAAACAAAAACAAATAAACAAACATATGACAATATGTTTACTATATACTGCTATGCAGCTGCTATTTGCAAAGTTAATGACCTGCCAAAATTAGCTGAGCATGGTCATGTAGATAACAATTTACCAAGTTGCATGACTATATATTATCAAATAAATTTAATTGGACTAGGTATCGTTAAATTGGACGGCATCTAATTGATCTGTCTATATGCTTTGATATGGGATGTAAAAGATAATTTGTTAATATCTTAAAGCATTCTCATGTCAACTGGAGCTGTTTCTCAACAAATATTGTGAAGTAGTCTAGAAAAAAAATAAATAAAAAATATTTCCCGGGACATATCCGTATTTCACGTCCTGTCCCTGGCGTCCTGGGTTTTTTTTAGAAAGTGAGGAAATGTCCTGATTTTTTTAAATTACCTTAATTGGACCATTAAATTTACAGGCGCTAGGGCACTGCGCACGACGCTGCGTGTGACGTAATCCCTGAGCTACGTCAGTGTGGGCAGCCCTGTTCTTAATCAGAATATAGATTGCGTGGCTGTCAGTACGCCAACAACATGCAAAAGCGCAAATGTATGTTTACCGACAATTTTCAAATAGTTTCCCCCCTTTCAGACTGGGTCGAGACAAATGGGAGGCCTTGTGCACGTGTGCAAAGCAGGCACATATGTCTCGGTGTGCAATGGAGGTGCAAGGAATCTGAAAAGTCACCTGGACACCGAAAGTAAAGATAGTCTATTGATATATCTGTTCGTTTTTGCTACACAAGAGGTATTTTTTGTTAATTAGCTCATTTGTTAATTTATTTTTTCCAATAGCCTACAGAACAGACATTATTTCGTTCATTGCTGAGGCTGAGTATCATCTGTTATTGGGAGTTGAGAGTTATGGTTAACTTTTATTGTTAAGTGAGGGATGTTTAGATGAGACATTATTTCTTTCATTGTGCTATTCATTCATTACAGGAATTGTTAAGCATTTTTAATAAATACATTTTGAATGAAATTATCGTTTGTTATTGGAGTTATTGCTGTTGACTTTTACTGAAAAGCATTTTTTAATAAATCAACTGTAAATATCATGTTATTGTGGGATTACGTAGGTCTATGTTAAGTGAGTGCATGCCACAGACATCTCTATGCATGGGAACAGAGATCCCAACCCCCCTGCTCCAAGGTGTCCTGGTTTTCCCAAATGAAAATATGGTCACCCTAATATATAGTGAAACACAAAACATATAGTTCATTGTACAGAGTGGTCTAAACATCTATTTCTCTTAGTTTTCATATTATAGTTAGTGAAATTGAAACATATTTTTTCCTAAAAGAGGGAACACAATAGACTTGATGAGTAAAGCTTTAATGCAACACCCTTCAAAATAAGGGCAAAAAAAGTTTTGCCTATTAACATGTAGTTTTTTAAAGTATATTCACTTAAACTTTATTCGTAGGAAAAACTGAGATAAGAAAAAGTCAACAAACATTTGGGGTAAATTTCAGAGGGAGATTCCCAAAGCATGAACTTTGTGTGGAGTCTTGAATAAGGGTGAGCAACAATTATTTTGTAAAAGTTCTTCACATTATTTATTTAGGATTGTCAAAAAATAGGCTTCCTGCCTGAGGGCATAGTCTGTAGAAAATCAACTTAAATCTTTCAACTTTCCAAGATGAATGAGAAAAAGTGCAACTCCCTACAAATCCAAGAACCCAGTAATAGCAGTCCACAAAATGTACCCCCAAATAAACCTTCTTGTTCTAGAAAAGAAGACATTTTAAACTTTTCACACGAGGAAACATTTAGGAAAATAACATCCGTATTTGTACTCCAGTAACGTCAAGCATGTCTAAAAGACTTTTTTACAGCATATATAGCAGCAGGACAACATTTTAAATTAGAAATAAAGGGTGGAGGAAAATTTATTTTTTCACAATAAAGAAGGAGCAATATGAGAAAGAAGACTCCTTAGATCCTTCATTCTCCCCTGACGGTTTCTGTGAGGCAGCACACTTTGTTGCTAATCATCACAACTGCTCTGTTTAAGCCCAAGGTGGGAGTCTCAGAGGAAATCCAGAACAAACAATCTGCTCCCTTAGTGCTGGCTTACATATTTGAAGAAAGAATCAAAGAGGCAACATCTCCTGGGCACCTAGAGGAAGGAATGCTTAAGGCGCCTACCTAACTCTGCAGTGCGCTGTCAACATATCACAACAGGCATGGAGTTGTTTACAGTGTTAAATATTGCTAAATTGCAAAAAAAGGTTAAACTGATGAAACAGATAGAATTATTGTTGATTTCCTGTCAGAAAACTCAAACTAAAGATGCTCTTTAGGAGCCCGAAGCACTCAAGGCCTCAAACTCAAAGTCTGAATACAAGCTGCATGCAGACAAATCTTTCCTTGTTTTCTCTATTGATGTTTCAAGTAGATGTGAAATCATAATTTCTTAATTAACTAAGAAACAGTGCATCCCACATATCCAACGATTCATTATGGAAGCAGAATGTGCTATTGGTTTAAAGGTATAGTTGAGGATGTTCTTTTTTTGGGTGGATCATCAAAATAAGTGGTCCTCCTAATTGTCAGTCATTCTGGTGATATGTTTACATAAGGCTGCCCTACTGTATGTGCTCATCCCATTTTCACTTAACGAGGCGAGTGTTACATAGTGGAAAACATTGCAAATCTTCTTTTGGAAGGTAAGCTTGTATGAGTGATGCAACAGCAACTTTTAAACAGAGCGTGCACGAGGAGAAATGGGCTCGTGAATGCTCTCACACATGTTAAATAGGCGTTCTCTCTCGGGAGCCACTACAGGGTTGTGCATGTGCATTTTTTTTAAGTGAAAAGGGCAGGTCTTTTCAAAAATTTGCGAAGAAAATAAATTAATAAATTAATTAATATACAAGACAGTAGGCCTACTTGAATAATTGCTTTAAAAATGAGAAAACAAATAGCGAAATAAATAGCGAAATAACAGAAATAAAGTGTTACATTTAAGGATGTTTTGGAAAAAAATTGGATTTAGGTATTAGAGCAACACAACAGTATGACTGAGTAAGAACACTAATCCATTGTGCAGAAACTTCCTGTCAGTGGCCTCAATGTTTCCTCCCACACAGCCAAACTGCTCAGGAACAGTTTAAGGGAAATGGCAAAGGGCCAAGTGATTATCTGGCCTCTAAACATATCAGATTTCAATCCACATCAACACCCACAGACTGTGTCAAAGCAGGTTCTACCAATGAAAGCCACATTCTGCAACCTACAGGACCCAAAAGAGCTGCTGCCAGATATCAACAGATGTCTTTGAAATAGATTGACTTCTCCCTTGGTGCTGTGATATGATTTTCATATAAAGTAGGATTTATATTAAAATGAAGATCAGTATGAGGTTAATTAATTTGTTCATAATTTAAAGTTCAACTTACATTGAAAAAGCATGATTGCATGAGCAATCATACATGTTAAGCTTTTCTGTTAGTAAAAATAAGAGACAGGCTGCTAAACCATCAACCAGGGGGGTAAGCTGCAAAAGGTCATTTCTGAGAACTTAATTCATTGAAAAATTAATTCAAGCACATTCATAGAAAGTTATGTGGAAGGATAAGGTGTTTTAGGAAAGGGAATGCAAGAAAATAGCACCTTGATAGAGGGCAAGGATAGCCTTTATTTAAACAAAAAATATTACCGGTATATGAAAAGCTGTACTCTACTTTGCTGGGAAACTGAATTATTGGCTTGAATTAGCTTTAGGGCATGACTGAAATCTACAGAAATGAACACTTCCAACATGTCACTTTTCATGTAATTCATGTATAGAAAGTCTAATAGGTCACTTTTTGAACTTCATGTTGCATGAGGTGAAAATACAGAGTATTTCTGCAGTACATTTCAGCACTGTTCTGTTAGATCCCCTAAAACCACTCAATTAAGAAGCAACCTTAACTCACCCATAAACGTACCAGTAACAACATTTATATTTTTACATTTTTTAGTATTTCTTTACTGAAAGGAGTGATAAATCATCAGTCCCTTGACTTAGACAAAGAGACATCTATATTATCTTCCTTTCTGATTACATTAAGAAACTAACTTAAGCCAAAAGTGAAAATCAGCTCCTTTCTGTACCAAATTATTCTCTGCGACCTCTACTATCTATTTACTCTACAGCCACTTTAATCTCTCAACGTGATACCTTACATTCTCACCAGGGTGCTCTCAGCATACTGGTGTTCACCTTTGCCTCCAGGCACCCATGCTGCTCATTATTAAAGAAAGTACATTTAAAAACAATAATGAACCATTCTTTTCTATCCTAGCCCATACATCTCTGAGTTCTCCTGCAGGGAGCTGAGCATTGGCATCAGAAGGCTGACTGAAACGACTGGTTTTTGCTGGTTGACTCAATTATGCCACGAGTCACATGTGTTTCCTCTGAGCGCTGCATGTGAACTGATGGGCCCTGGAGGGCTTGCACACATTTCAAGCTGCCACATTGTCAGCGTCCCAGGTGTGTAGAGAGGATGAATATAGGTGGCATATACCCAGATGGCTGGCCACAACAGAACCTCTTTTAAAGTTTAATAAATGAAAACAAAACACAGAAGTTTGGAGAAAGTTACTAAACATCCTCCCCTCTGGTTGGCTTTAAACTTGAGTTTTTTCTTTTAACTAACAATAGCCCAATCATAGAGTCGGCTTGTTGCTTCTTCAGCCATAAAAAGCTTAAACCGTATGACATTCTAGGCCTGCAACAGCTGATTGAAGTCCTTGCCAATATTAGGACGTGTTCTTTTAGTTGTCCAAAGGCTAAAATTTAATACTGTGAAAACAGTGCTCATGTTTGTTAAGCAGAAGCTCTCAAGAAGACACACAATGCAGAGACACTTGTGACTGGAAAAACCTACAAACTTGTGTGCAATAAAATTAATTTATATGATTTCAATATTTATCAGATAATGATAAGATAAAAAAAAATCCAGA